ATGGCTAAGCCAGAATCCATCTTCTCGGTTGAAATTGTCTCTGTGCTTGTATATGTGGATAGCCTCATGAACGAATCTCTCATGGTAGCCAGATGGCTTACAAAGAACATCTGTCTTGGAAAAGTCAATGTCATGTGAGCCTACTGAATTATAACAATGATCTGCCACGGCCGAGGTGTTGGTCATACCATGTTTAAGGTCTGCTTTGTGTTCACGAATGCGGTCCGAGACATGGCGTTTGGTTTCTCCAATGTAACTACTACCACAGACTCGTTCATGAGGCCATTCACATATACAAGCACAGAGACAATTTCAACCGAGAAGATGGATTCTGGCTTAGTAACCATTGGAAAGATGTTTTAAACCATTTCCGTTCTTAATTAAGTGTATTTTACGATGACCTTCAGACCGCAGCTCTTTCGCCAGCATTTACTCTTAATACCTCTCACACCACGGTTAATGGTATGGTTTACAACATGGAGTATAATAGCGCCTCGCAGCTGTCTCTGTCCCCCTCCTCTGTTCCGACCATGGATGAACTCGTCCGTCTGAACGGGGCCCGTAGCTATCCGTGTTGCTAAAGTTGAGGGTAAGAATCCACCCATTTTTTCGCCATATAGTATTGTGATATATAACGACTTATTGTTGGTAGCTTAGCTGATTGGAGAATATAGAGTTTATTGATAACATTAAGGTAATTTATATTTTAGTTTTTTTAATTGGTTCACTATATAGTTTTCATTATATATTGTATTGTATACCCAGTTACTGTGAATAGCTCAGATGTGTAGGCCTTGACTTCAACATAGCCATTTCTGTGACCAGTCACTAGCTAATCAGTTATTTCAATGCTAAATTCGCCTAGTTATTTCAATGCTAAATTCTCCTGTTTGATTTGTACTAGGTGCCTCGGTGAATGTGTATGCTCTGACTTTAACATAGCTATTTCTGTGACCAGTTACAAGCTAATCACTCAGCTATTTCAATGCTAAATTCTATGCTAATTCCTTTGTCAAGGGGTGCCTCTGCGGATGTGTATGCTTTAACTTAGCTATTTCAATGCTAAATTCTATGCTAATTCCTTTGTCAAGGGGTGCCTCTGCGGATGTGTATGCTTTAACTTTAACATAGCCATTTCTGTGACCAGTCACAAGCTAATCACTCAGCCATTTCAATGCTAAATTATATGCTAATTACTTTGTTAGGGCGCTTTGTTTCTTCTCACACAGCTTAAAGGTCGTGATCTGAGCGTGGCTTTTTCACTCCAGCGCTGTCCTACCAGACAGTCTCGTCTCTTCACCTGATGAAGGCCGCTTGTGTTGTGGCCGAAACGTCGTGAGAATATTATTGTGTTATTTTATTTTATCAATTTATTATTTTATTCTCATTCTACGTGACTTTTCCGAAAGAACCAAAGAAGATGAATCCTTGCAGTCACGAAAGCTTTAAATCGAAATACTACCACAGAGGCAACTTAGTTTGTAGACACCAGGGTACTGTATGTCCAGAATCACATCTTTTACAGACGGAACCAGATCACGGATTTTATGTAATGTGTTTAAACGGACCTGGATCTTGTGTTTATTCAAGATTTTGGAGATATTTTTTGTGATCCCCGCAATGTAGGGTAAAGTGATGGTTTTGAAAGGCTCCTCAAGAGGGTCCTTCTTCATGGTTTGAGTGATAGCTTTGCGGATCGTATAGTCGGAGTAACCATTAGCCTTAAGAGCTTGGTGTACGTGTTTGAGTTCACTGCCTATGTGTTCCTGGTCGGATATGCATTGGGCTCTATGATACAGAGTCTTGATGAGAGAATTCTTCTGTGATGGATGGTGGTGGGAATCCGGTTTCAGATAAGCATCCGTATGGGTAGCTTTCCTGTAGACATAGTGGCTCATTGAAGCATCAGGTCTCTTTTAAATTAGGACATCCAAAAAAGGTAGCTTGCCATCTTTTTCGACTTCCATGGTAAATCTGATGGCTGGGTGTATGGAATTGATGTGGTCGAAGAATTGGTCTAGAGCAGGCCGGCCATGTGGCCAGATGACAAAAGTGTCATCCACGTACCTCTTCCATAAGGTTGGGCGCAGAGTGGCAGTCTTGATGGCGTCAGTCTCAAATTTCTCCATGAAAATGTTAGCTATAACCGGAGATAGGGGGGAGCCCATTGGGGTGCCCTCAGTTTGTTTGTAGAAAGTTCCATTCCAAGTGAAGTATGTATTGGTCAAACAGTGTCTCACCAGGGGGGGTACCTCAGTGTTTAGTCCTTGATGAACCAAGTCTTCAATGATTGCGATGGTGTCAGGTACAGGAACCTTGGTGAATAAGGAAACTACATCAAAACTGACAAGCAGGTCGTCTGGGGACAGGGAAATACCCTTGATTGTCGATACCAGGTGAGTAGAATTTTGTACCGCAGAGGTGGTTTTTTCAGTGAAAGGACGCAGGATTTCAGACAAAAAACGAGCCAGTTTGTAGGTGGGGGAGTTGATAGTAGAGACGATGGGACGAAGGGGTGTATCTACTTTATGTATTTTTGGTAAGCCGTATAATCTTGGTGGCCTGGCAGCAGAAGGTTTCAACGAAAACTGTTTAGATTGATCAATTAATGCGGTTGAATCAGAAATTATTTTGTTGGTTTGTGTGACGAGGCTGTTGGTGGGATATCTTTTAATTTTTTTGCCTGAAATCCTGCGTCCTTTCACTGGAAAAACACCTCTGCGGTACAAAATTCTACTCACCTGGTATCGACAATCAAGGGTATTTCCCTGTCCCCAGACGACCTGCTTGTCAGTTTTGATGTATTTTCCTTATTCACCAAGGTTCCTGTACCTGACACCATCGCAATCATGAAGACTTGGTTCATCAAGGACTAAACACTGAGGTACCCCCCCTGGTGAGACACTGTTAAACCAATACATACTTCACTTGGAATGGAACTTTCTACAAACAAACTGAGGGCACCCCAATGGGCTCCCCCCTATCTCCGGTTATAGCTAACATTTTCATGGAGAAATATGAGACTGACGCCATCCAGACTGCCACTCTGCGCCCAACCTTATGGAAGGAGTACGTGGATGACACTTTTGTCATCTGACCACATGGCCAGCCTGCTCTGGACCAATTCTTCGACCACATCAATTCCATACACCCAGCCATCAGATTTACCATGGAAGTCGAAAAAGATGGCAAGCTACCTTTTTTGGATGTCCTAATTGAAAAGAGACCTGATGGTTCAATGAGCCACTCTGTCTACAGGAAAGCTACCCATACGGATGCTTATTTGAAACCGGATTCCCACCACCATCCATCACAGAAGAATTCTCTCATCAAGACTCTGTATCATAGAGCTCAATGCATGTCCGACCAGGAACACATAGGCAGTGAACTCAAACACGTACACCAAGCTCTTAAGGCTAATGGTTACTCCGACTATACAATCCGCAAAGCTATCACTCAAACCATGAAGAAGGACCCTCTTGAGGAGCCTTTCAAAACCATCACTTTACCCTACATTGCGGGGATCACAAAAAAGATCTCCAAAATCTTGAATAAACACAAGATCCAAGTCCGTTTCAACACATTACATAAAATCCGTGATCTGGTTCCGTCTGTAAAAGATGTGATTCCAGACATACAGTACCCTGGTGTCTACAAACTAAGTTGCCTCTGTGGTAGTAGTTACATTGGAGAAACCAAACGCCATGTCTCGGACCGCATTCGTGAACACAAAGCAGACCTTAAACACGGTAGGACCAACACCTCGGCCGTGGCAGATCATTGTTATAATTCAGTAGGCTCACGTGACATTGACTTTTCCAAGACAGAGGTTCTTTGTAAGCCATCTGGCTACCATGAGAGATTCGTTCATGAGGCTATCCACATATACAAGCACAGAGACAATTTCAACCAAGAAGATGGATTCTGGCTTAGCAATCATTGGAAAGATTTGATAAACCATTTCAGGTCTTAATTGATTGTTCACGCTTACAGTGGCTTTCAGACAGCATACATTAATTTTTCGTCTCCCCCCTCTTTTCAGAACATAGATGGACTAGTCCTTCTAAATAAACTGCCAAATCGCTGCGCGTGGCGCTGACGTTTTTATAAATAAATAAATGCACCGTCGAAAAATAAATAACTTAATGCAAACCGACACACCTGATGACGACCGTTTGTGTTATGGTCAAAACGTCGTGAGATTTTTTATTGTTTTATATATATTTTATTGTTTCCCTTCAACGTGACTTTACCGAAAGAGCTAAGAATAATAAAATTTGATCATTTGTGTCACGGTTTTAATACAAACACAGATCATCAATCCAATACAGCCACGCAACACTGTTTGGCAAATGTTTCCAGCTTCACTGTTTATTACACATCGGTGGTCCAGATCCATAGGGAACGCCTTCAAATAAACAAGAATGTCTCAGATGCTTTTAAATGTATAGTATACAGTTTTTTGGTTTAATTAACCCTATCTGTGGATACGCATACATAATTAGCATATACAGAAGGAGAACGGAAACACCTTTGAAAAACGCAAATAATTGTTGTTTTCAGGCATTTGTGTACGGTACCAATATGGTTGTATTAAAGGGCTTAGTTGGTAATGAACAAGTTTATGCATGAAGTGTGTAGAATATATGCACCGCAGTGGAAAGATATTAACTACCTCGCCTAGTATACAGAAGATTATGGGTTTGATCCAGACCCTGACGTCTGTATATTTGGAGTTTGCATGTCTCCCCGTGGTCGTGTGGTGTTTTCTCTGGATCCTCTTGTTTTTCCCTCCACATTTCTAGTGACTAAGTCGGAGATGATAAGACTTGGAGGCATTTATTCATTAACAAGCACCATTGAGGTTAACACTCTTAATAATTAGTCCGTCTATTGTCGGCGACGCTATTCAGTCAGGACAGTTGGTAGGCTGCCTGACTGGTGGCGCCTTGAGATGGTGAAGATGGAGACGACGACAAGAAGGATGGTGAAGACGACGAGAAGAATGGTGATGAAGACTTCAGCAGCACGATGGGGATCCCACTCCAACAACAGCCCCGAGGTTCCCTACAAGGGGACCCCTCTTAAACTGTCAGCGTGGCCTCGCTCCGCCCCCGGCCACGCCCCCTTTCTGGAACTTAGTTACTACTTAAGCACACCATTGTGGTAGGTTTACGGCACATTTACGCGATCTAACCCAATAACGTGAAAATGAATAATCCTGGTCGCAAAAATCGAAGTGTTAAATGGAACACTAAATATTGTCATGGATTCCTGTAGGCAATTGATACATGGCTTTGATTGAATGAACGATGACTAAGGATACTCTAGGGGGAAAGAGTACATGTGACACTTCTCGGAGTGGCTGACAAAGCAATGTTTGATTGGCTCCGACGGTTGGAGTAACATTCGTGCCGAGTGGCATGAATTGTTTCTGTTGCAGTCTTCGTGCCAGTAGATGAGATTGGGTCTGTTGAGAATGGCTCCGGCACATGCGTCGTACCACCAGCCCCCACCCGACACGCCGTTGTACACCAGCTCGGCACAATTCTGAAAATAATTGTCGTTGTCGCTGTCAATGGTGGTGAATTTCTGGTTATCATGAAGGTAAGCTTCAGAGTCCTGGCTCAGGGCATCTGCCGCTGTCCCTGAATGCAATCCCAGACGGAGTTTGTACTTTGAAGCTTCACCATCCACTCGGAAAGGGTCATACTCGGCCCATAACTCGGTGCCATTGTCCCTGAATAACTCCACCTTGAGCCTGTATCTGCCTCCCTTGTGCGTCAGCATGTGAAGATGCTCATTTCCCAACCAGTGATCGCCGTTTACCAAGCCAAATCCCTGCTTGTATTCACTCCAGGTCCGATTGAAATCGAGTGTGGAATTTAAGGTTATTTTCTGGAATACAGTCCAGCCTCCTCCTTTGGACATCTCGCAGAACACGACCAGAGGTCTCTGTGTGCCTATGTGGATCAAATACAGGCCGCTGGTGGCTGTCTGTTGGCTGCTCATGTAGATATCGTGGCAGTCGGTGTGCAGAGCTAAAAACACAACAACCACACAGTCCCTCGTTAACGTAAACCAAGCACAGGGAAAACGATACATCGAGGATACCTCACAATGCCGGTGGGTTCTGGTTCGGCGAAGTTGGGGGAGCATAGATGTATAGTACAATAATGGATATTTCTCTACTGCCCTATTTCTGCCCACAATGTAGCCCAGTTACTTGCTACCAGTTATTGTAATGAATGACATACATATTTGAATCATGGCCAATGTGTTGGAATTATTAGCAAAATAACTCGATCGTAAGTTCTCAAGGAATTCATTTGAAAGTGAGTCCAAACGAGTCGTCCTGGGAAGGGAATTTATAGTTCCAGAAACCCACACTCGGTAGCGGGCACTCATAGGAATCTACTTTTTAGGCCAATTTTCTTCTCCCATAGCCCCGAGCTCCAGACACGCACCCCTCATCTACCCTCTCAGTCCCCACCTTCTGGAACCTTCCACAAGTCCCTCAAGTCCTCCTCCTTGCTTGAATTTCCTCCCATCTCATCTCTCCCATTCTGCATCTTTGTTACCACCGTCTCCTTCAATAATTCCTCCTGGCTATGGTCCCGTGTCCCCACGCAACCCCTCCTCCATCCTCGAGGCTACGGTGCCGTGTTCCCCCATCTAGCCACAGCATGTCCCCACACGACTTTTACACATTGATTGAGCATATGAGGGAGGTGCTTACAAATGCTTTGCTGAATACAGAAGCATCATTCTTAATGGAAATCCAGCGTGAGCTTAGAGCATGGAATAATATAATATTCCCATTTCCCTTTTGATAATACTGTATGAGCATGATGCAACTGGGGTATCATTGTTCTGTGACAGGCATCATATTAATTACAGTACTTTGGTAGAGGCTATTTGTCAATCATCATTCACTAAACTTGAGGTACCAGTCCCATGAGACAACGCATCTATTTAATATAGAGACGCTAATCAAACCAAATATCTATTAACAGCAATATGCGGGACATAAATGAAAACATTGGCAATGAGATTACACAAATTCATTAGAAACACAAAACCACACACGCAGATATAAAAATATGCGTATTAAATTAAATAATAGCAGTGGAATAGGTCTTGTTGACTGCAAAATATATATCGTGCAATGTTGGGTTTCATCCGCGCAAGGTGGAGATTAACTACACAGATACAGCATAGATGTAATCTTATCACAAGAAAATGCGGTCAAAAATATTTGCAATAATTACGAATGAACCTTTGAAATTTAGGTTTATAATTGATTCAAAATTTGTTTGTTTAGGGGTTATATCATCGTGTAGTGTACAATACCAGTTTATTAATGAGTACCTTCCACCATCCGACAGAAGCCAATAAAATCCAGTTGTCACGTGGGACAAATATGTCGATTTATTTAGTTTATCAGGAATACCGGAGGAGGAATATTGAAAAGCAACATTTTGACATTCCTCCGGTTTTACTTACAAACCAAATCGATCGGCGTATTTGCCCACGTGACAACCTGGTTTCATTGGTTGTTGCGTGGCGGAGCATTCTAGATAATAAACCGGCATTATACTATAGACAAAGATCTAACCCAAAAAACAATAATTATGAATCATGATAACATTGGTCTTGAAAGTCTCCGCACAGAGTAAGCCTCATCATGTGAATGTCTTGTGAAAATTTTAAAATATATAGATTTAAGAGTCAACAGGTGTTTTTTTTTAAACTCACAATGCTTTGGTACAAAGCGACAAGTTGCATTCCCTAGACCGATGAGCACCGTTAGTGCAGCCAACGAGCACACGATGCCACCGTAAAGAGTTGCACTGAGCCTTACCCTTGTGTTCGTGGGCGTTTAGGATGTCTTCGTAGTGAACTTCTTCTAGCATGTGCTTGTTGGTCACTCCGATCTTGTTTGAAGCCAGGCCCAGGAGCAGCACGGATGAGATGACCACATATGTAAGCATTCTTGCCTCTTATTCACTGTAAAAAACACATGATGTTGTATGCAAATAAAATAGTGCTGTATTCTATATTATACGGCAGTGTTTAAATAAATTGAGTATACAAGTTTGAAAAAAGTAGCTGTTGCCATGCCGAGTGTAACATTATTATTTTCTTATTATCGACATCAAACCCCCTCACCACCCTCCTCGTCTGAAATCGAGACGTCCATCTTGAACACACGAATCGACTTCTCCAGTCGACTAAAAATCCACTCCAAGTGCCACGCAATGTGGCGCGAGTACAGTGGTAAACAAACAAGAACTTTCGTGATTCGCCGTGAAGAGATCCACTGTGAAGATCTACTGTGAAGAACCAACGAAGGAACAGCCAGGATCCTCTCTGCTGCTCCAACGGCAGTGGGGAGGATCGTTCTCAATCGCATAACAACAACAACCATGCCTCGTGCTGGCTGAAGGCGTGGGGGATATTTCCTCCATAAATGGAGCGATCAATTACTCCGTCAAACGGCGATTACGGTGGGGTGTATATTACTGACGACTGGCCCAACACAACGCGCATACTCTGGTAGATGCCATAGAGGTGCTCACACCATTAACAAACGCTATACGGAATAATAAGTGTAACGTTATTATGGCGTAACAAAATGACGGATATTTTATCACGTATGTTCATATGGCGTAATGGGAGCACGAGCAATTCGTGATATTTTTCGTGAAATTTTCACGACCAACATTTATTTTCAACGATTGAACTTCTTGCACACCATATATAGCCAACCGTGCTAATCTGAGGTGTGGGGGAAGGTCCACAAACTAAATATAAAAACTAATTAACATGAGCAATTCGCTTTCACGAAGTTCCTGGATGACACTGTGTCCATTCTCTGAAATACTGACGACGTTTTTGTCTTTTTCTCTCGCTGCTTCTGCTGAGCTCACGCAACACGAATCTCCCTTGTAAATAGCCGTTAAACTGGCTGAGCGTCACCATCCCTGTAGCAAATCAAATGAACTCAAAACTCAAATACAATAGTGTGATTCAAGTAATAACGTTGTCACAGACGTGAAGCAGTAATAAATTGACCACATTTGTTCACCTGACTTTATTAATTGGCTGTGTCGCGTAGAGGAGGGTGTACAACACACATTCTCCTTACGTGATTTGAACACAAAATACATTTAATAAAAGAGTTTTCCCCTTTTTTCTGGCAACAAAACTGAAATCTTTTTACAAGGATTCATGTCTGCTTAACCACATTACCTGCAGTCAAAATGCAAACAAAAAACATACTATGATAATATATGCATTGTCCTTGAAACTGATTGGTCCACACCAAGGGACGGCTTTCTTTTGAGCCACATTTTTCGTGGCAATTCTAACTACTGTAATTAATTAATTAATTATCGAACGCAGTAATGTAAATGACAATTAAATTCTTGGTTCTTTCGGTAAAGTCACAGAGATAGAAAACAAAAATCTAAATTAAAAGCAAAAAACCCACGACGTTTTGATCACAACACAAGCGGTCTTCAGAAGACCAAGAATATGAATTCCTGCAGTCACGAAAGTTTTAAGTCTAAATTGAAATGACAACTACTGAAAAAGCAGATATCAGAATCATAATATTTCTTTATACAGGAGGAATCTGTTGAGCTATAAAGCTCTTTCACAGATTTCTAGTAGACAAATTTAGTACACATCTGCGAAAACATCTCTACTAAATCTTGAATATGGATTTTTTTCCTGTAACAGCATTTATGCAGGAGTAAAAAGCTGATTGCAAAAGTGAATACATGCTAAGCTATTTAAAGCGAAGTAATACTTTGCATGACTAACCTTGACGACAAAGTCACCGGCGTGGAAAGAACGGGACTGACAACCAGCGGTGGTGCGTGACGCATGTATTTGGCACTCGCCTCTCTCCGTGAGAGCAAGCACAGGTGACGACTACGAGGCGATCGATAACAGCCCGACCAGAGGTCACGCGTTCGCACTTTCCCACAAACGTCACTCCATTCTGGCACATAGAACGTCAGTTACACATTGCAGCGGTGCTCCGCTTAACTGCAAGTGCATGACGGCACGGTGGACTAAAGTCACCGCGTGGGCGCATCTGCCCCTCGTCGTTTCTTTGCGCCTCCTGACATCGTCCTGATGCTGATACAGCAGCAGAACGACTGCAGTTTAAACAACAGGCAAAGGCGCAGCCCTTCAATTGCCCCCTCACGTCACTGCTGGTAGAAGTGCATTCATATGAGGGAGCTCTGGAATGTATTTGGTCTCCTCTTTCACGCTGGCCAGACCATGTTGGAAGAGGTGGGAGTACCCAGAAGCACAACGACCAATTTCAACTGGGGGGGAGAGGCTCTGCAAGATCCGACTGTGGGCCCCCCTCCTTTCTCCCGACTCAATTTTACTTGAATAGCTTAGTATGGTTTTAACCCCGTATAACAATAATATCTTAGGCTATAACTGTAGTGTATATATTATTTTATCCATAATAGAGGTTTTTGGGTTAGATCGCATAAATATATAAATGTGTTGTTAAAACCCGCCACCACCCGACACAGCCAACTAGTAAGGGCTGTCACGGAAACAGAACATGCCAATTCGTCACTAATATAGCACACCGGTGTGTTGGAGAGCCAAGCTACATCATTTACAAACTGAATACGACGTTTTGCCACTGTTATAATTCAGTGGGCTCACATGGCTTCTCCAAGACGGAGGTTCTTTGCAAACCAACCGGCTACCATGAGAGATTCGTTCATGAGGCCATTCACATATACAAGCACAGAGATAATTTCAACCGAGAAGATGGATTCTGGCTTAGTAACCATTGGAAAGATGTTTTAAACCATTTCGGTTCTTAATTAATTGTATTTTACGATGACCTTCAGACCGCAGCTCTTTCGCTGGCATTGACTCTTAATACCTCTCACACCACGGTTAATGGTATGGTTTACAACATGGAGTATAACAGCGCCTCGAAGCTGTCTCTCTCCCCCTCCTCTGTTCCGACGATGGATGAACTCGTCCGTCTGAACGGTGCTCGTAGCTATCCGTGGTGCTGAAGTTGAGGTTAAGAATCCACCCATTTTTTCACCATATAGCATTGTGATATATAACGACTTATTGTTGGTAGCTTAGCTGATTGGAGAATATATAGAGTTTATTGATAACATTGAGGTAAATTTTGATTTAAAGCTTTCGTGACTGCAGTAATTCATATTCTTAGTTTTTTCGGTAAAGTCACGTTGAAGAGAAACAACAAAATAACAAAATATATATAAAACAATAAAAAATTCTCACGACGTTTCGACCATAACTCAAACGGTCATCATCAGGTGTGTCGGTTTGCATAAATTTATTTTGAAAACGGCATATTTATTTATATATATATAAAAATAACGTTTGCGTCACGCGCAACGATGGCAGTTTGCCAGGACTAGTCCATCTATTTTTTGAAAAGAGGAGGGGGGAGACGAAATTTGTTTTTATGTATGCTGTCTGAAAGGCACTGTAAGCGTGAACAATCAATCAAGAACTGAAATGATTTATCAAATCTTTCCAATGATTGCTAAGATAGAATCCATCTTCTCGGTTGAAATTGTCTCTGTGTTTGTATATGTGGATAGCCTCATGAACGAATCTCTCATGGAAGCCAGATGGCTTACAAAGAACCTCCGTCT